TCATACAAGAATTTGAGTATCAACACTCTGCAAAGCCCAAATAAATGTGACGTGATTGACTGTCTGCCTCTGGTTCATCGCAGGGGGGTTTAAAATACAAAAACAATGAAAAAGTTGATAACACTTAGAAACTGCATCCTCCTAAACTGAAAGCAATGCAAGCAGGCACTTAGAGCCTGAACATCTGTTTGGTTTCTTGTCACTAGGAAATTAGAAAATGTTGCTGATTCTAAGTTTTGTTTCAGACTCCAAATGTAATTTATTGCTTTTAATTTGTCTCGCTTCGTGTCATCATCAGTCTCTTCTGTATATGCTTTACACAGCAGTCCTTGCTAACCAGAGCAAGATATACCACTCTTCAGTGGCCACTTAATGAACCGGTGAAGACAAAAGAGGGGGGGGAGGCATGAACTCACAGAGGTTAGAGTAAAGATCGAACCATGAATGACATTTCGGTGATATTAAAACAACATCATTCTAACTGAGGTTAAGTATGGCTCATAAACTTCTATCCATTTGTAGTTGCCATGACTTAAAAGGGCAAATTTTCACCAGACACACACAAATGTAGTTTTTTATTTGCGTGTGTGTGTGTGTGTGTTAAATTGATTATTATAAATACTTTAAAGTTTGCCATTTCGGAAAGACACACACACAGCATTTTAAAAACAGAGAATATTGGAATTTGTAATTTTGTCTTCAAAAATTGGTCTTGTCTGAACGCATCACAATGTTAAGTTGATTCTAAAAACAGAACCATACAGTTTCCTACACACCCAAAGATCCTCTTTTTGTTGCTGCAAGTGCTGATGCTGATAGTTTACCTATTGCATTTATAAATAGATCGATGAACTATGTATCTACGCCCAGCATGTTTGGATATAGCTGATTATACTTACAATACATAACAGTGAAACATGAGGGTAAAGCTGTCTCCTACAGAGATTAAAAGTAAAACATATGCTTAGATTACTTTGCTCTTCTTGGTCTGAAAACAGTTTATAAATCTGTGAAGACTCTTTGGACTATTTATAAAGATCTTTTTTACTTGGCTAGTCTGTTACGTGTTCAGCACACATAACCTACCACCAAGTACACCTACAGTATTATTTCAAATTCCTATTAATTAAATTCCATTGTGTCACCTTTTTCAGTTTATAAATTTACTTCTTGTTTATAATGTTTAAAGTTGGTGTAATTAATATACTTTCTTAGATTTTTACCTCAGTATGCATTTCTATGAGTATGTTTTGTTTTTAAATGAGCTGGCACAGAGCTTAAAAAATGGAGGACCTCGCCTATGCCGCCAGGCCAACAATTCCCTTTAACAACCCCCCTTTCAGACACTTAGACAAGTATGGGGCATTGCAGGCTAACAAAAGAAGCCAAACAACCCCTATTCCAAAGGGGTGGACCCTTTTGTCTGTTTAATTAGCATATTTTCAAAACAAGGCTTTGTTTGGCTACTGTGTAAAACCTAAAACTCGACGCTACTCATTTTTAATTGAAAAGGGTGGACTTGGGTTCCAAGATTTGAAGACGTTTTGCCACCTCTCCAGGAAGCTTTCTCAATTCAAATGATTGAATCAATTGATCAATTGATAGCAGATTATCAGGCTTTGCTGAACTGCAATCATCTGAATCAGGTGTGTTGAAGCTCAGAAACATCCAAAACATGCAGAGCAGTGTGCCTTGAGGACCAGGGTTGAAAAACACTGACCTAGAGCACAATAGCCTTACCATGGAAACCATAGTGAAACAAGTGAAAGTATCATGCTGTTACAGAGGAGATGAACAGAGTTAATTAGATGATAAACATAGCAGTAATTGAAGTGGGATCAATAGAAATACACGACACACTTTAGAAAATATTTTAGGTATCATTAAAAGGCTGCTGATGCACTAGGTTTTATTTCTGGGAATGAGTGAAGGGGACCTGATAGGAATAGTGTACATTACTGCATTTATAGAAATATTTATGTCATAGTATCTCTTGTTTGGTCACTAATTTGCAAACATAAAACAGCTAGAAATTCATATGGATATATACACACTGAAGAACAACAGCATAACGTATTGCAATTCACATTTCTGATGTTATTCTCTGTTCATTTATGTGTATTTACTTTTTTTTTTATCCGTCTGTGTTGGTGTGAGGCTGACTGATGCATCACCCAAAGGCTTTTGTCTCAGCACATCAGTAGATGATTGGCTCCCCATGGTGCGTCTTTGATTATTCAGCTAACAGGCCTCTGCAGCAAGTTTATGCAAACGTCTCTGTAAGGCACTTGCCGTCTTCCTTCCCCCTCATGCGCTCTTTTAAAACCCATCCCTCCGTCTCTTCTTCCTCTCCTTCACTAGTTCGTTTCCTACATCTGTCACTTGTCTCTTTTCTCCCACCCTGCTGCACTGGCTCCCAAGTTTAACAAGCTGCCGGGGGACTTAAATGCAAGTACACCCAGAAATTTGTTCAAGGGATCTAAACAAGGGATGACTCATCCCCAGATGGCTCTATTTCCATCTCTCTAGATCTGATTGTTTTTCTTTACCCACTGCCTTTGAGATCTCTATCAAGCTAGCCAGTATTTCCCCCCACATTTCTATAAGAGCATAATAAAAGACAACAAGCCATGTTTTAGTTCTTCCCTTTTATACCCTTCCATACGTTTTCCTGTGGTCTGATTTTTGCAGTTTCCTGAGTGATGCATCAGAATGTAATTATTTCCTAATAAGAAACAATGCCTCTTTTATTGTGTTTATAGGTTAGGCATAGATCTACCTTTACCTGTATCTTTAGAAGATAGTTAATGACTGTGTTTTACTCAGACCAAATTTGAAACCAGAATCTCAAATTCTTGTAAATTGTTAATTGTCATTGTTACTGCATCACTTCTTTGGTACCTTTTGTTGCTATTACATCTGGAAGCCTGCCTTTCACATTTTATAGACCTGGTTTTCTCAATTTTTCCTTGGTAATTAGATTTAGGTTTGCAGTTTCACTAGACCATAATAAGACAACATATGCTCTGATCTAAGCCGATCATTCTAACTTCGACTGTATTTTTACTAAACTTACGGACAAATTTATAAAGCCCAAAAAAAATCTTAAACACTTTTTTTTTTCCTAACTTGCCCTGAGCTTTACCCAAAGGATCCTCCTGCATTCATTTCCATCCATATTTCCATGAACTTGTTTTCAGCATGTCTAAAAGAAGAACCTACACCAGCATCATTCTGTCACCACCATGTATTATGTTTTTACAAGGCCTTCGTAAAAATTTTAACTTTTCTTCTTTTTGCTGTTTTTTTAACTGTGTTTTTAACACTTTTTAGTAAAAGCCATATTTCTGGGATGCACACTACTTATTCATCCTAATGGACTGTGGTCATATGAGAGTCTTTTAGATTATTAGTACACACGACACTTTAGGCAGATTCTGTTTAAGCAGATTCAGTAAACTTTCTGAATCGCTACCAACAGGCAATCAAACTGAATGTCCCTGAAAACAAAGAAAACAAGTAAGTTGAAGCAAAGTATAGGGAAATAATTTATGCCCACTGTGATTTCTGCCAAGGTGGAGGTATGTGCTGCTGTTAACGAGGACTTTGCTGCCCTGGCAACAGGCATCATCCTCTCTAGCAGTGTTTGGTTTGTCACCAAGGTTTCAGCCTTCACAGACTATCTCAGATCACTCTTTTGGGATTTTTTTTTTTTTATCAATGATCTAATTTTTTTTCTGTGTACCCCACCTGGCCCCCCTCTTTTCATGTCTTTTCATTTGCTTTTGGAAATGTTGCTCTGGTTACTGATTTTTTTTTCTGCCAACAATTTGCTTCACAATTTTTTTGCACCTAATGGCAGTTATTGACTTTAAAGTAGTTAGATAAAAAAAATACTTTGTCAAGGTTTTGTATCCAAGGCTAAAGTTTTTTTTTATTTTTTATTTTAGGTACCTTAACACCGAATCATTACTCTTTCTTTAGGGAATGCATTGTTGCATACTGTAAAAACACCACAACTGGATGCATTGCAGAGAATCAAGCTGCCATATGTGTTATTGCTTCATTATGTGTGCAGAATTACATCTATAGGGGTTTACGTGCTTTGTTTGTGCATCTAAAATCAACAAATGCTGCTCAGAAACACATTTCTATCACTGTATGTGTGGTTTCCACATATAAAATTTGTTGCATCTTTTACGTCACAAAGTATACTAAAAATTATTATAGGCTCAGGCATGGTTCAAATCTTTAAAAAGGCTCTATTATTGCTAAAAGCTTTTGTAGGTGTCCCCACAGGGATATATCCAGATAAGAAGCAGAGGTAATGCTTCTGTTTATGCCAGGATAATATATTGGTAAAACCATTGTTGAATAAAAAAATCTTGATTAATGAAGATTTGAGGCACTCACTGCATCTTTTCCAGATCATCAAACTGGTAAAAAGAAAAGGTGGCTATTCTTTAACAATAGATCACATAAAGAGGGTGCTTTAGAGTTGCTCCTTGTGAGAAACCTACTGAGGATTACTGTCAGATCGTAGTTTCCCTGAGCTCCACAGAGCGTACTACACCGCTCAGCTCATTGCTTCTTGCGTCTGGTCTTCGGCTTTACTGTGTCTCTCTTAAACTCTCTGCAGGCTCATTATCACACTCATCAACTTTGTTTCCATACTCGCTTATATTTGCACGAAGTGGTGAAAAAATACCCCCATAATTTCAGTTCATAGTAAAAAAAACTGTATTTCAGAATGGTAACTAAGAAAATAGATTTCTAATCGTTCACTTTTACAGTGGAATCTTTAAAGCATGAACCACTGATATAAGGAGAGGAAACTCAAAAATGGTGCTTTTATTCCTTTGAGTGACTAGTATGTCTGTTCCACTTTGGCCGGAAATTCTATATCATTAGCAGAATATTTAAATAAGCTTTGAATTCTTGAACACTGACTGTCTGTATTGAATTCTTTAAGTTCTTTAATGCTTTTATTTTCTCTGCAGGACTTCCTTACAGATCTGATGATGTCTGAGGTGGACCGCTGTGGGGAGAATGAGCACCTCATCTTCAGGGAAAACACTCTCGCCACAAAGGCCATTGAGGAGTACTTGAAGCTGGTTGGTCAGAAGTACCTGCAGGATGCCCTCGGTGAGTAATCATGAAGTCACGAAGAGACCAGGCACACAGAAGGGTCAAAGAAGAGATAAACACTGATGTGGATTCTTCTGTATTTCATTGCTTAAAGTAGGAAATACAGTATTTAATACAAGCTGGAAATTTGCATTTTCTAACACTAACTTACCCTTAGTTATAGGTGTGTGCATGCATGGTTGTTTGTTTGTTAATGTTACCCTGTCAGTTCAGTAATATAGAAATGTGTAGAAAAAGAAAGATAGATGATTCACAGAGGAAGATTTCCAAAATAAAAAAATATTCTTTGTTCCATACAATCATATTTGCAACTCTAATTGTTGGTGAAAAGGTCAGCACTTTTTTTTAATAACATTTTGCAAGGTTGGAGTTCACAGAGCAAGGGATCCTTCGCAATTCTCCTTTATACAGTCTTTTTTGATAAACTGTCAAGCTCTCTTTTCGATGCGTTTCAGTCTGGGGTCTGAGATCCCAATCTATGTTCTGTTTAGGGAACAATTTCTTAGGGAACGCTCTACAAAAGCTTTTATAGTTTTAGTAATCCTCCTTAAAGACCAACTGAATACCCATTTCTTTATTTGCTTTGCCAAGTTCTTTGCTTTGTTTAAGTGAACTGCCATGTTTTCCAAGACATTATAAGGTTTAAAGTTAGTCCCACATGTACCCTGACAAGGCTCTTTAAAAAAAAAAAAAAACAGACCACCAGCATCACAAATCCTCCTACATGTTAAACAGTGGAGATGAGCTCCAATATTATATATCATGTTTAAAAAACATGTATTTCCATGAGGTTCATATTTATGAGGTTTTAACAAAACTATTTCCTGTTTTGCTAAATGAAGGTTGCATTAGTCAAGAATAGGTTTGCTGCAACAACCTTTGGTGACTTTTCACGTACATACATTTACAGACTGTAAATGTATCAATTGCTTAAAGCAAACAGCCAAGATAACACAGCAGTAGCTGGAGGAGCAAAGGTTCAGTGTACAGAAGTGGGGCAGTCAGAGCCTGGACGATGGCTGCCTACTGGACCCTGAAAACAGCTGATCCAAGTTAAACATGCCCCTAAAAAGTTGAGAAATATCGCTAATAAATATGATCCAATTACACAGAGATGTTTCACATTTAGGTAATTATTATGTTTACACTGTTTTTAAACAATGTAAAATGTGTAACTTTCTTTTTTTTGACTTTGTCAAAAAATAGGCTACATACAAATACTTTATTCAAATTAGACTAAATTCTTATGAAATGTCAGAAAAAAACTGAAGGGGCGTGAATGCTTCATGTTGAGCACAACACTGAGGAAGACTACTGTTCTCTTCTGAGCATAAGAGCTTCATTTTGTACAAACTCATCTTCCCAATAAGCACAATGTCACCTTAAGGTCAAAACAAGCTTATTTGTCCATCTGCAGCTCTAAAAATAAGGACTTTGCAATTTGTAATCTTCTGTCCGCTTAATTTAGAGAAGTACACAGTAGAAGTTTAATTTACAAATAGTAGACACATCCTCTTTGTATGCTGCTGGTGTCAATGCTCCTTGTGTGTGTTTCTGTTTCACTGTGCAGCAAGAAAGTTGCTCTGTTTACCTTCGAGCCTGTCTCAAGGTTGATTCAGATAAAAGTGCTCAATTAAACTGCAATGTTTTGTTGTTTGTCGCATCAATAAACCGTTGAAATTGGAACCAAGAATTGGTAAAAGAGGGAGACGGAGGGCAGTCCTATTCCCTTTTCAGAAATTCTGATTTTAAGCCACTGCCAAACTAAAGAGTTATTCCATTTTAGGACTGACTAAGGCCCATCTTATACTGGATTAAGACCATAACGCTGCATCAAAGATATCCAACTCTCTGACTGAATACCTCACATTGTACATTGTGGAGTACGAGAGGTCAAATGCCATTTTTGCAGCACAGCTAAATGTGTGTGAAGAGTGGATTGGTCATGAGCAGGTATACATCGACTTCATGCCATGGCTGAAAATACCTTGTGCTTGTCAGCACTAAGAGTTATCTATCAAGATGGTCTTGGTGTCAAAGCTGCCTTTTCATTAGACAGACATTGTAGGCTGCAGTTGAAATGCAAATGTACCTGTCACTGTTAAGAAAAGTCCTATCATAGGAGGGAATGGCATAGGAGTCTTAACCAGGGTATAATTTGTTTGATAGGTCACGCATCCTAAGGTGGGCAGAACTATGCACAGACACACACCCTTACCTACATTCTACAATCCAGTTAATAAGATACTGGTAGTTTTAATCTGGTTTTAAATATTTAAAGGTTCTTACAATACTGTTCTAAGTTACAGAGATTTTTTTTAGTTGATGATATTCTGCGAGTAGAAATATACGTATGAAGCTAAATTGTTCCTTCAACTCTCTTCTTCTAGGTGAATTTATTAAAGCTCTATATGAGTCAGATGAAAACTGTGAGGTGGATCCATCCAAGTGTTCCTCTGGTGAACTGCCAGAGCACCAGAGTAACCTAAAGATGTGCTGTGAGCTTGCCTTCTGCAAAATTATCAACACATACTGGTGAGTACTGCAGCTCCGTCATCAGCTGCTTGGATTTTTCTTTATATAACAACACTTCATTAGCCTCGGTTTTTAAATGCATTCATCAAAGAGTGTTTGATTGCACACATCGTTTCATTAATATTGGCAATGCTTCATCATATGTTTTGCTTTCCAATATTTCCTTTTTTTGTAAGATCAAATTCCTTTGTTTTTTAAATAGGCTTTAATAGATATTAGGCTAGACTTAACAATGCAATTTGTCTGCAACATCTCTTGTGTTTTTGATTGGGCGCAGTGTTTTTCCACGAGAACTGAAAGAGGTGTTTGCATCATGGCGGCAAGAGTGCAACAGTCGGGGTCGACCGGATATCAGCGAACGGCTAATCTGCGCCTCACTGTTCCTGCGCTTCCTTTGTCCAGCCATCATGTCACCCTCCCTTTTCCACCTCATGCAGGAGTATCCTGATGACCGCACGGCTCGTACGCTCACTCTCATTGCCAAAGTCACGCAAAATCTGGCCAACTTCACCAAGTGCGTTTTCTCAGATTTTTATATATTTTTTTTTTATATATATAAAGGGAACACATTTTGTTCCCTGGAATTTAGCACAGATTGATAGTTTTGTTTCCCTTTTCTGTCTTTTATGTCCGTCTGCCCTTAGATTTGGAAACAAGGAGGAGTACATGTCTTTCATGAACCAGTTCCTGGAGCATGAGTGGACCAATATGCAGCGTTTTCTGATGGAAATCTCCAACCCTGAGACAATCTCAAACACAGCCGGCTTTGAAGGCTACATTGACCTTGGCAGGGAGCTGTCGACCTTGCACTCACTTTTGTCTGAGGTGGTCTCCCAAATGGACCAGGTACTAAATTAACCATTATTTGAGGCTCCATTGTCAACATGTCAGTCTAATACAGTAGTTTAACATTGTATAAATTATTTAGAGCCCCAAATTATTATGAAATGAAAACTTCTGAAGAAAACATTATATAAGTAACAAAAATATATGTTTTATCAATAGATAAATGTGACAGTTTGAGTGGAAAGTGTCAGTATTCATTGCACCCATCGCTTCTTCTATATGTCTCGTTAAGCTGCATATTGACTAAACTCGTATTGTAGGCATCTGCACACTTCTAGCTACATGCTTGCTGGAGATTTCATATTATAATTGGATGGTTTTCTTGACAGGGAACTTATTATTCAACATAATATGGATGATAAATCTTTAATAGAATTAGGGTTAGGTTCATTTCAGCAGCTTTACTTTAGCCCGCTCTTTACACCAAAATTAGATAAATGAACCTCCAGAAGAATTAGAATATGTTATGGAGTCAACATAAACTCAGAAACACCAGTGTCCATGTCCAGTTAACATGACAAGAAGTATTTAACAGCTTTAAACTGATATAAGGTTTACTACTCCCTAAATGCATAAGTGAAATACGTAATTGTCAACCAACCAAAGATGTAACTATTTAGCCTCATTAACAAGAAAAATGTCCTGTTATATCCTGGAGCACATATAATTTCATTGGCTCTTTTTGCTGTATGTTCTAGTTTGAATCCTTTCAAAGGATTTGGTCTACAAATCTTTACTTCAAAACATATATAGAAATGTTTATGCAACAATGTTTTCAAATGAGAACGTAATCCCAACACACACAAAAATAGGTTTACGGATGAATGGATCTGAGGGTTAAGCTTCTGCCCTGAACTTTACTCTGTTAAAAATTGGTTGATCATTCCTTCACAGTAGACATACAGATACTTTATTAATCCCTTGTAGGTGAAATTTACCTGCCCAGTAGAAAAGATTAAATAAAATGGGATAAAAAAAACACAAAATTAGATTTAAAGAATTATAAATAATAATGAAAGTAAAAGACTCAGTCCTTCAGGATTCATTAAACTGATCTTCTGTATCTCTCCCATCTGCTTCTCACAGACATCAAACTTTAACTAATTAAATAAAAAAGCTCAGCCATTTTGTTAAAAAAAAAAAGTGATCAAATAACAATCTAGAAAGCTTTTGATGGTGACAGCAAGCATATAGATTATCTGAATTATTGGCATTCATCTAAATATTTAGACTGAAAAAAAGCACCAGTCAAATAAATAAATTGAGCCTCACATTATTATAAAATAAACACTTCTGACAAAATCTATCTGTTATGTCTTCTCTTTACCTTCTAAAACACATTTGGATATATAAAACTGCAAGAATGGAGATCTATCAGTGTCTAGTGGTTGCAGCTGTGTGAATCTCTGTTTGACTACGTTAAAATGTTTATCCCAAATCTATCAATAATTAAAGATTTCATTACATAAGGAGAGCACAAAAGAAGGGCAGAGTAAAGTATTTACACAGTAGAGCATTAGTTCTGCTAGCTGCTGGTTATGCTGCTTCAAAAACTGTCTTTCAATAATTTAGAAATCACAGTCTGCTTAATTCTCCAGTCCATCAGTCTGTCCGTCCTATTACATTATGAATAATGTTGTCTAAATAAGATATCTGATACTGCAGTGAAGGGGGAAATCCAGAATGTGTTTTTAAAACTATGCAAGTAGAAAATCTAATTAATACCTGATCCCTGTGGATCTAGATAAATGTTTAATCTGGCTCTGATTTAATTGTCTGTCTTCACAGAGCATGGCTTCAAAGCTAGGCCCCCTGCCCAGAATCCTCCGGGAGGTGAGCACGGCTCTGTCTAACCCCTCCAGCGTCCAGATGACACCTGGGCCGTCCTCAGAGCCCGTAGGTTCCCCTACTGCTGAGGCTTGCTGCAGCATTTCCACCGGGCTGCAGAAGATGGTCATAGACAGTGAACTGTCAGGGTAAGAATCATCAGCATCACGCTCTATGCACAAACTCTGTCTAACTGTTCACTTCATTTATTAGTCAATAAGTATATAACGATGGGATTAATATTTTCAGCTCAATAAAGTTAGCAGCACAATTAAGATGTTAGTAGCTTATTTTTCTGTAAATGCAGAAATGTCCAATTAAACTTCCTACCCTATAAATTTACAAAGAAAAACTAGTTTGAAACACTGTTTTATAAATCTTTTTGTGAAAGAGACAAACGTTTCCCAACTGAGGTTCTTTTAGAAATTTGAAGATAACAGAAGGAGCCTGATCCAAGGCAGATCAATCTGTCTACAGTCATGGCGAAGAGACGATTACAAGCAGATTGATCTTTGAATCAGTCTGGAGCTGCTGAATCAGTGAACAAAAACAGTTTGACAAGCAGACTCATTTCCACTCCGTACTGATATCTTAACAGTTGTGTCATATTCAACTACGGTCTCTTGCCAAAGCTTGAAAATAGCTTGACGTCTTCACATTTTGTCACAATATATCATCAAAAACTTTTGCGTATTTTGGGAACTCAGAAGATGATAGTGAAGTTAAAAAAATATGATGCAGTAACCTAAAGCACACAGTTCATTACTGTGCCCATATGGTCCACTCAAAAGTTATATCTTTGAGTGGAATAAAGAATGAGTGGGGAGGCTTAAAAATTTTCACAGATGAACGTCAAACAATCCGGTTTTCCTCCAGGATTAAACTGTTTTCTTCCCTCTACTTCACCGTTGTCTGCTATTTTATGTTTGTCCAATAGGGCTGGGTGAAATTATCTCAAATCAATATCACCATAAATTGGGCAGTTCTACCTCGATAACGATAAATGCACGATAAATGCTCCGGCTTTCTATAAATAATGGCAGGTGCAGGAAATGCAACTGGTATTTTTTATGTATTTATTGACCAAATAAAATTACATATTAGTTTCAATTAAATATAAAAGTCTTGTAAACATTTGAGTTTAAACATTTAAGATTTTTTCTTTAAAAGGGAGAAAAATGTTAGCTCACTTAAACGTTTTTGCCCAAAGGTAATGGAGCCTTTTGCACATCTTCGAACTCAGCAGCAGGGTTGGTGCTGCAGGTGGTGGAGGTTGGATGTGTTACTTTGGGCAATCCCAACAGTTTTTTAGGCAAACTTCGCATTTTGCTTTTCTCTTTTTTGCTCAACATTCTCTTTGTGGAACCAAGAATATTTCAAATTACAGACGTCGAATTTTTGGGGGGGAACTAATATGGCAGGATTAAGATATTTTTTCATTTATGGCTGTGTTAGTCACTTCTTCACTGAGTTAATCCACCATTCTCTTTGTTTGCGCGCTGTCTGACTGTATAGGTGGAGGTCGCTGCCGAGTCTTAAAGGGGAATGAAAATGCCAGCCACCCTCGCCCACAAGACAAAACAAAAGAATTAAGTTTATTTCTTTTACCGACATGGGAAAATTGTCACCAGTTATTGTAGTGAATGACGGTAACATAAAAAAAATCCAGTTTGTTGCCAACTACATTTGAAAAAGGATATAAGTTAAAATAATAGAAAAGTGCAAGGTATATAAATACTTTTATTAGGCCGTATATCAGCAGTGACATTTACTGTGTTATTAAGACAGCGGGAGGGAGAATATAGTGGATAACAACACTGTAACAGCTGCAATATCATTTCAGTGGCACAATTTTTGAAATCATTGTCCTGCTGCTTCTTTATTTTATTAGACCAATGCATCTCCAAGTGCCTGAAAGTGGCAATTGTGGAAAATTTTTACAAGTCATGCAAATATCTACAAAAATGAATTTCCAATCATCTTTTGTGTAGTTCCAGGCCTGATGATGATGCAATCCTTTCCTATGTTGACAAAAAGAAAATGTATTGTCATTCAGGTTGTTTCTCTCACTAACTGCAAGTGGAAGTTGTGACACAGCAGTTAGAGCATGACCTCAGCATGTTTATATCACCTTGACAAATGTTTTCATCATGGTGTTGATGTATACTCGCTCAGATGGGCTGATGCTGCTCATCCCCTCGCAGAATGATGAGAAGGAGAAGTTTAAAAAATGATCATGAAGTGCAAGAACTAATAGAAGCATTCCACATTCTGCAGCTTTTATTGCAGAGAAAATGAAAACGTGTTGAAGGGAAACAGGAAGTGAGTCAGTCCGCTTCTGTCATTATGTTCATCAGGCTTCAGGATCAATGGAACTAATTAACTGCTGCCCCCATTTCTAACCTGATGTCAGAGCCTCTCATCTTTACTTTATCACAATAACTGTTTGCTCACATTATCGGAGCGTACGCGTGTATCGACATCACCGGACTCGGTGACTGAAATTCAAATGAGCCTCAACGTTCTCTGTTAATTGCTTACTTTCTGCTAACCTGTGACATGAAAAGTAGGAGGCAAGGAGAGACAGCAGCAAGATTGAGGATAGAGAGATACTGGGCAGAATAAAAAGAAAAACAGGTTAAAAGATAGGAAGGGTTGAAGGAGCTGGAGGAGAGGGATGAGTTGAGGGAGAAAAGCTGAGCGTGATGGGAATGATAGGTTCTTGCAGCATGAGTCACATCTGTCAAAGTAGACATCTTTTGGCAATCAGGACTCCATCTGTCAGTGGAGAATAGGGAAGAAACAAAAAGTGTGGAGATGAATGAAGAAATGTTCGAGCAAAGGCATCAATACATTTCTTTTCCTAATTTTAAGAGATTGGGTAATGATTTTTGTCATCTATTTAATGCTTTTTGGTCTTTTGAGAGACCAGATATACAAGAATTACATAGTTCACACAGCAGTCATTCATTTCTACAAATAACATGCCTATAGCATGAGCTGTACTGCCCAGGCATTTCTTACTTGGCTAGATAGAAAAAAAGGCTCTTGAACACTAATTGTCTGCACCACAGCCTTTTTAGATCTAACAAATTAGCTGTCTTGGCAATCTGCTCTAAATTGAATGGTTTTTCTTGAAGATTGGTTCAATTCTCTTCACATTAGACCAAACTTTTGTTCCAGTGTAATAAGCCTGAGTTGAGGTTCACTTCCCTGCCTTTAAGACTGACTCTAACTGGAATATGACTGTTTTAGGTCGTTTTTTCATGATAAAATCTGCAGTATCTATAAAGTTCCGTCACATTGTTTCAAAACTGTTTTCAGTTTTCTTTTTAATTGTATACATTATACAAGACAAATAGAAGGAATCCAAAGAAGCTAGTTCATTTCACTGGCTTTATTATATGTTGTTCATCTGAGTTAAAGCAAGTGACAAAGGATTTCAAACGAACATGTATTTGGTGGAAAAGTAAGAAATCCCAGTTTCTTTTTTGATGAATAAAGTAAGGCTTTTTACAAAATTTGAAGAATCAAATTATTATACAAAAATATTTGCAGGTATTACATTGCTTTATTTCTTCTGTCTTTTAATGTCCATGTTTTTTTTTTCTCACAAATAAAATAAAATTACTTTATCCTATGAAGGTTTAACCAGTCTAGATATCCAATTTGTTGAAATAAGTGTGTCCAGTTTGGCACTGAAATAAATTGCTGATTTTAATTTTGGCATCATTACCTGCTAGCAGTAAGCCAATCATATAATTCTCACAGTCTTTTTTAAAGTCATTTGTATTTTTCCTTTTTCTTTTATCTACCATGTAACCCAAAAGCTCTAACAAAATCCATTTAAAAGTGGAGGGGCTGCTTTAAAGGGATAGTTCGGTATTTTTGACATGAATCTGTATGGCATCCCCATCACCAGCGGCATGCAATCACACTGACTTACCCCTGGCAGCGTCCTGTGAGCAGAGTTATCGTCCAGTTTTGGTCAAGCCGAAAGTAGTCCTGCAGGTTTTTAGGAACAGCGAAATAAAACTTTTCTCTTCCCAAAACATTATGTGTTCAAAAGAGTGATATTTTTGCATCCCAAAAACATTGTAGTGGAAAAAGTCACACGTCGTTATCAATTGGTCCTATTTTCTCTCTGTTCGTATCAGTGCGCGCCGTCATTCAGACAGCGAGCCCAACAACAGCCATGTCTCCCTCCGCCGCGGAGGGAGACATGGCTAAAAACCTAAAAACCTGCAGGACTACTTTCGGCTTGACCAAAACTGGACGATAACTCTGCTCACAGGACGCTGCCAGGGGTAAGTCAGTGTGATTGCATGCCGCTGGTGATGGGGATGCCATACAGATTCATGTCAAAAATACCGAACTATCCCTTTAATGTTACGATAAATAACATTGTCATCCAACACAATTTGACAATTATTTACAATTTGTAAGATAAGCTTTCTTCAATAAGAAATACAAAAGGTTTTTAATATTATAACAGCATTGTAACCCCATTTATTGTCCTTTTTTTTTGCCTTTTTTTTTTTTGCCTATCTCTGTCAGATTGGTTGACTTCACACGGTTACCTTCACCCACTCCAGAAAATAAGGACATCTTCTTTGTGACAAGGAGCTCAGGTATCCAGCCTTCCCCTGCTCGCAGTTCCAGCTATTCAGAGACTAATGAGCCCGAGCTGGGCATGTCAAATGGCAACAAGAGTTTATCCATGGTGGACCTCCAGGACCCCCGCAACCTGGATGCCGGAACTACTCCGAGCCCGTCAGATGCTCTAAATGAAAGCCAAACCTCTGGGGGATTGTGGCCAGCCAGAGTCTCACAAGGTAACATCCCAGGAGGTCCTACCATGAGAAGGCCCGGCCAGGCCCCCACTACCCCAAGCACAGAGAGCACTCCAGGTCGACCCGCGCAGCTTCTAGCCCCGCTGTCCTTCCAGAACCCAGTTTACCAGATGGCGGCCTGTTTGTCAGTGTCTCCTCGAGGAATGACTGATTCGGGGTCAGAGTGCCACAGCTCTGTTAGTTCCCATAGCAACAATGAAGATGGGCCTGCAGGAGGAAAGCAATCTTTTATGAACCATAGCGGAGGTGGGGGAAGCAGCGGGGATGAGTACACCAGGCGTTCCGGGGAGTTTAACCGTCGACAACTATCGCTCACTGAGACCCAGCAGCAGCCCAGCGTCCCCAGACAGAACAGCGCCGGCCCACAGAGGAGGATAGACCAACCTCCACCTCAGAACGTTACCCGAGGCCGTACGCCCCCCAATCTGCTCAGTGGCGGCCCTTACCCTCGCCCATCCTCTGGGAACATGATGACATCGTCACCGGACTGGCCAGCTGGCGGCGCCCGTTTGCGGCAGCAGTCATCTTCTTCTAAAAGCGACAGTCCTGAGACCAAACAGAGGGCTCAGCACAAACAGGTCAGTGTCCACAATACAACTCTAGAAACTTTAATATATATATGAAAAAAAGAAGTTATGATATATTTATTTAATATATCAACTGTACACCGTCTCTGGAGGTAATTACAGGATATTAAGCAGATTAAAGAACAGCGATTTATAAGGAAAGGATATGGTGGGTGTAATCGCAGAGACAGCAGATTTTACCCTGATGAACTACAGTCACAGCCTGGGTAATAACAGTTATTTTCATACAGGCAGCTCATTCCCACGGCACTGTTTCACTGGTTATTTATATTAGGATGAGTATTAGGCTGTTGCAGAGGCACACATTGCATCTTATTAGAAACATATATGCAATGGCCTCTTTAAGATGAGGTCACAAGCTTATATACACTCATCAGGGCTATGCGGTTCGTTAGTTTTTAATGCATTTAATATTAGTAGAACCTAAAACTATTCTTTTTTTGGTGGGTCCATGTCCATGCAGACAAAAAAAAAAACAATTTAGATATATAAAGAGAGCAATGCATGATGGGTGTATCTAAACTTCTGATTGTTATGCTTGGGAATACATTTGATTGTCTGGTAAGTGTGTTTCTAACATTGAATGTGATTAAAACCCCTGAGCGATGATTACCATGATATCTGATAATAGAATATCTGCATATTACCTATAATCTTCACTATTTCCTTTGTTGAAGAGAACCATTGCTCACTTCTTTAATGGATTAGTTAAAGAGACACTATGTTTGATAAGAAATGTAAATCAGATTTTGTAATAACCATCCCTTGCAAATTAGGTCCATATCCTCAGCAACACACAATCAAGTACTTAGATACTGTAATGCTTAACTTTACTGCTATCTAAAGGTCGTAGGTATGGATTTCATTAGTTCAAAGCTCAAGACACGATTTAATCTTACATTAAATGTAATATATAACATTAGTTTTTGCCTATATACACAGCAATATAGTTATAAAGATAATAATACATAATGTTTTCATTACTAAGAATAATTCTGAAAACCGTAGATGTACTGAATGTTTGAGAAAGAATTAACCAATCACAGACAAGCAGAGCGGGAATCCATCAGATCCAATTTAAAAAGATCCTTTTTAAACTTATCAGCTGTTCACCAGCTTTTAGCTCCCTGTTTTTATCTCTGGTATCTACTTCCCTTGCTCCTTTTATAAAAAGCAAGGTTTTGTGATACAGATTTGAAAAGTGTGTGTGCCACAGTGGGAGCTTTCAGACAAGTGTGTGCATCCATTCCACCTGCTGCTTTCAGCCCAGATGAGTTGGTGCATTTCAAGCTTATTTCTGTTGTTCCTGTTGTGTTTTTGCAACCTCCCTCCTGCCCCTTCCCTGACACTTTCATTCAGCTCATGTGTGTGTGTATGTGTGTGTATGTGTTGGTTTTACTAGGCCCCCTCCCCAGTGAACCCCAGTGCGCTGGACCGCACAGCAGCCTGGCTTTTGAATATGAATGTGCAGTATTTAGACCATGAGGGGATGGAGCCCGAGTCACTAAGAAACAGAGAGGATCTGACTCAGGTGGAGAAGGTAACCCCGTCATCCAACCTTTGACCTTTAGCAACCATCAGCCTTGATACCCCCACCTAGCTCTCTTTCTTTTCTGTTCTTCACCTTCTAGTTCAAACTCTTTGAACCTTTTCACATTATGTCAGAGCAAAACCTCAAACTTTAACACACTATCAGGATTTGATGGGATGGACCAACACAAATTGGTTTCTAATTATGGAAATATGGAAATTAACCTTAACTAAATCCAAACTCTTGCTTAACTTTGTGTTTTGTATTCACCCCCCTTTACTCAGATAACCGTAAAAGAAGTACCTGGAAAATTACTTTCTCTAAAAGTCCCCTAATTTGTAAAAGTTCTACTTGTGTATAATTTAATCTTTTAATAAGTCTTTTTAATATTTTTCTGCAGTTTACCATTGTCTGTTCAGATGAGACCAAATATTTGGCCTCCACACAAAGTGCTCTCTATAGCAGTAAAATAGCATTGCCAGTCTTCGTGTTAAGCATTAGTCTATAGATAGTTGATGGGAAGATAGGAACCAAACCAAAAAAATTGTTAATATCCTGCTAGATTTAGGTTTAGAATAAATGATTTGACCAAAATCCGTTGGCTGGAATTAGCATCACCATTTTATGGCTCAGTCGAGGTATGAAAATAAAACTAAAAGGCAATCTTCAGAATTCTGATCATGGAAAGGAGGAATTTAAACCTCAAAACTTAAGAGTTCATTAACAAAGAGTCTGCAATTATCCAAACATATAATAAAAACTGCTAAATAATCATCTGTTTGCAGTACTGATTCTCCTTAAGATTTTTGCAAAGACTAAGACCATAAATACACACCCTGAGCTGCAATGAAATAATTTAAGTTAAAGAATATTCATTAGTTAAAAAAAGGCTGAAATAAAGAGCAGACCTAAACCTAGAGCTGAATTTTTGCAAAGAAAATTATTTTTTCAAAAATAATCGTCAAATACTTTAGAAGACTAGTGGGACTGTGCAACATCACTGAAAATATATCAGGAGCATTTCATAGTAGTAGTTCAATCAATAATTATTAATAAGTTTATTGTTTGTTTATTTAAATAAAAAGCTGGATAAAAAGTCAAAAACCTTACCGTCTACCCTGTTGGCAGCCTTGTTTAGTTTGGGAATGAGACATTAGGCTAAATCTTTTCCTCTGCCTAGATCCCCTCCCCCATAATACCTTATGTTCTGGATAAAAGCAGAATGGGGTCTCAATCCCAAACCGGCCTCTAAGCACCAACCCTGAACACTAACCCTCCGTTTGCTCATTCTGGAGGGTCCACCCCATTAAGTGCCATCCTAAACCACCTAGTGGGTAGGGCCAGTGCACCGTTCAGCCCTTAAATAGCAAGTCTGCATCAGTTGTAGATCCGCTGGAACTCAGCAGTAGGTATAACAGCGGCCTGATGACAGAGGAAACATGTTCCGCCTAATGTAAATTCCCCTGGTTTGTTGCATCTTCGTCACAGACAGGATATCACAAGTTAGTATATGAAAAAAAAAAAAGTAATCAATTCCAAAATGCATGGTCCTCTTTGAAATTGTTTTATATGACCGTACATTTGTTTTAAGAAATGGGCAAATGTTTATTGTAATGATAACCTGGGCCACATAGCTACAGCCATGTACATGGGGAGTCAGTGTGTTGCCATAGCAACAACAACTTTCCTTTTCTGTTGGAGGGAAGAAGCCGTCCCATTCTTGCTTCAATCAAGGCACCTTCCACAGCTGCAAGAGAGACTTAATTGGGAGGGACATTTGACAGTTAAGGGTTAGTGCTTAGAGGGTGGTTTGGATTTCAGCTGGGCTATGTGCCTGACTCCACCACTTTCTGAACTTCAGCCATCTCCTTTGTTTCCCATTTTTCATTACTGGACTCACTGATTAATCCAGTTGTGTCTGACCTCAGTAACCATGACGACAAGGGCCAGACACACCTGTATTAATCAGTGTGTCCAGTAATGAAAGACGGGGAAACAAAGAAGCTGGCTGAAGTTCAGTATGTAGTGGATTTGGGCATGCAGCCTGTTAATAAAAATGTTATCATATATTCTACTGAAATGGATCAAGCTTGTATTGTTATCTAGTTTTGTCAAGATTGGTAAAAAAAAAAAAAAGAAAAAAAAAAGAAAGAAAGAAAACCTACCTTAAATTTCCATCTGTATTTTAGTCTGGGGGCTTTTAGAAGGTACATGTCACATTAATCTGTGGATCCTTTTCCACTCTCTTTACAACTACTCCATATTTTGTTCAGTCAAATCAAATCCGTATAACATGGCATTCGAGTCAATGAGTCGATGCAATCAACTGGTTTTCCTTAGATAGAAAACTTTGAATCAATTTGACTGTATGATCTGGTGAACTGTAAAGTGCCTTGAGATGACATGTTGTGAATTAGCACTATATAAATAAACTTAATTGAATTGAATTGACTGTTAAAAAAAACTTAAAAAGGAGGAGGTATGCATGCTTTTACAAGGCACTGGATACACCCTGAAAACACCATTCCCTTCTCCTGTTTTACTTCTGGAACTTTGAAGACTAGAATCTGTCAGAGAGACTAAAATTTGGTTGTTGAGGCAATCTATATATCAACATAGAAGATAAAAGCTGGATCAACTGCATCAACTGACTCTAGTTGTCCCATGTGACCTCATCATATATTTTTGGAGGTATGTCAGACTTAAAATGTTTGGTTCTTTTATGTTGTTATGTGTACAGCCAGGTGTGCAGAATCAAACAGTAATACTGTTAGGCTGAAGAGGGGGAAATGATCTGCAGGTCTTCAAGTACCAGCAGTCAATATCAGCACTGATAATACAGCAACTTTATTAATTTGTTCATTATTTTCTGTGCAAAGGGTCAATCATTTGACCTGTAGGCAGCCTGAAAGGCCATTTAAATAGACTAAGATATCCTCTTTATTTAGCCAACTGGTACCAATTTTTCAGTATTTTCAGTTTATATCATTTGCAAGGAAGGGAAATTAAATGCATCTTTATAGGCTAATTTCTAAATGTAATATTACTTGAATAAAGAGGCCTTTTCATCTTGAATACTTGAATTTAATTTTGAAATTCAAAGGAAATCGATGTTTTTGAGTGCAGCCTACTTTGTGTGAAAAAAAATCCAAAATAGAAAAACTTCTTCCATCTTTTCGTCTCCTTACCATCACCAAAATACACTCTGAAACCAAACTTATGACTATAGATCGAGGTGACTATTAAAAAACCGAACATTCACACGGACTGCTGTGTGTGCATGTGTGTGATCGAGACAAAAAGTTGCTTTTATGCTGCCTGTTCTGCTTCCCAGTGTCTACAGCTGTTCATTGTTGCTCTGCTTCTTTGCTTTCCTTAGTTCCCACATGCTCCCTCCCTTCATATTTTCCCCCCGCCTATCTATAATGAGAACAAACCTGTCATCCTAACATAGCTCGTACTTTATGGGAGCCAGCAGCCTTGGGAGGGAGAGCTACCAAAGAAGGCAATAAGTTGAGTCTTAACAAAGAAACCACAGCCACCCTGAAATAGCAGAAAGGACTGGAAGACAGTGCTGCCTCCACAGCAGAGACGAGCTGCAGCTAATGAGCGATACAGGGTGACAATTCATTTAAAATGTGCACCGTATGACATTCTGGCAATAAATATATATAGCTTGCTTTATCTTATATGGAAATATTCATTTTGAATTTCTTAATTCACCCAAGTAAAAAAATAGAGAGAGAGAAAATCAGATATTTTATGTTTATGTATCTTTTTTTCCAGATACATATTGCATGTTAAAACAAAAAAAAAATAGAAGCAAAAAAAAAAATAAAAATCAGGGTAATGTATAATATTACTTACCATGAAAAAACAGAACACATAAGAGGATGTTTTTGGAAGTACTTTTGTGTAATATAGATTTCATTCAAGTTGGATCATCTCAGGATTATAAAGAACATGCATGATCCAGTTAGAAAGTTACTTTAACACTACATAACGCTCTTTGGTTGGTAAAGATGAGGGGATGGGATGGACTCCTTAGTTCCAGCTAGTTCAGTATGATGTTTCTTCTTATTAATTTACCAAGATCTTATAACTTTGAGCACAAAAATACAACTTGAGGCAAATATTTTATAGATTCTAAGTAAAACCAGTCTATTGATTAATTGATTAATGGTTTTAGGTCAGGTGGTGAAGGATAATGACCAGGTGAAAATTAGCGAAACCATCTGCCGCATCCACAGCACCAATCAAAATCCTTTTCCTTTTGTCAGCATCTTACCCTAATAAGTGCATCAACAGCCGTAACTTCCTGTCCATTCATCGCTGGACTGATGTCTGTTAGGTCTGCATGACAAAGATCTGCTGCACTAACAAGTCATGCAAGTCTGCCATCTTCCGTCCTTCAGAGATACACAGCTTACTGTCATAGCAACATCACCAAGCATGATATGTTTTAGAAACCAAACAGTGTGCCCCAGGCTTTAAGGAGCTGCAAAAAACAGAAGGAAACTGCTGCACATACAGCCAGAGCTACAGTGGATAAGTTTACATCAAGCAGATCCTGGTGCTTAAATGGCCTGATCAGAAAACACCTAAATCTGATCAAGATTATATAACAAGTCTTACACAGGGAAGATGGGTAGCAGTTAATTTGGAAGATGCTTCTAAATACAGTAAAATGTTATCCTGTAGGAGGGCTGTTACAAATTAAAAGCTTTTTTCTTTTTTGCAATTTTTCAAAACTTTGTATTGATTTAGCACACAGAATTCTGCATATTACACTGAAACTGATAGTGATAAAAAAATTTCCAGATGTATAAAACCTTTTCATGCCACTGGTTTTTAACTGTATAAGAAAACAACCTACAGGATTCCCATTGTGACTCAGGCTGTGATTATCCTATTCAATGTATCTGATTTAATCCTTTTGGAAGAAGCTTATAGACAGCTAAGCAAAAATGTAAATAAACTAAGGCATCAGCCAAAAACTCTGTCCTTTGGAATATTTGGACCTCTCTTTCTGCACAAAGAAGATTTTACTACTTTAAAGGCAGCATTTTTGTGCTTTGCTATCACATCCTGAAGAAGCATTCTCTGCAGTTGGGACATTTAATACTTAAGTAAAGTAACCTTAATTTTACAGCATATGGCTTTTGGGAAAGTGTCCATGCAGGGAGACAAAAACAACACCAGACACACATTCATCATTTTTACATAGCTGCCTCCAGTGAATGGTGTCCATTGTTGGCCTGAATGGAAAGATAACCTTATCTGGAATGTTGTCAGCTGGAACACCAGAACAGCAGGTGCAAAGCTGCTTTGTTTCCTATCCGTCTTGTATTAAACCATCTTATCAATATTCATGCAATACATGTTAATTTTACTGTGTGTTCTGCTGAGCTTTACATGCAAGCCGATGTGCAATTCAGATTAATAAGCCACAGAATGTCAAAAAGACACTTATTTTGCAGTGCAAGAGAAAATGATAGTAGAGACAGGATTGGATATTGGGTTTGTTTCAGGGAGACAGAGGAGTAGGGGAGCTCAGTCTCAGCAGATGTCCCACATTCTCAGGAGAATCAGCCACAAGAACTGAGGTTTATCAGAAATGGAGAAAGGAATAAAGAGAAACTGACTAGATAAACCTGTTTGAGGTCACTGCTTTCTTGTAGTGATTGACTGTGAAATGTCTCTGTGATGTAGCAGGCTGGGGACAGAAATGGGAATGCATGGGAGGAGATGAAGAAAGATAAGTGATCCCAGCAGAATTCCCATGGCATGCAAGGGGAATCAGATAATTCAGGATGCTGGGAAAGGTTGTCCAACCTTATCACTAAAGGTTGCAGCATTCTGTTCAATTAGGATACAACTGGAATAGGTGAGATAAACAGGTTGTATCAAAATGAAATTAGAAGATAAGATATAGTTTAACCTGCACTATGGCAATTTACTACAGAGCATGGCTGCAAAAACCTTTTTTATTCTAATACATGCGGAAGAAGTGGAAAGGAACACAGAAGACTGTGTTTTAATGTCAGGGAAGCACAGCAGAAAGGTCAGGGATGAAGCTGTAGAAGTAAAAGATTTAAAGCAGAGTTAGGTCATAGAAAGATATCCCAAAGTTTGAACCCCCTCACAGACCAATGCTCAATCCTTTATTCTGAAAAGATGAGAAGAGGTATAAAAAGCTGGTAGAGGCATAAATCTTACCTGCAGTCGGAGCAAAATGTGTTTCTGCAAAACACAGCAAAGGTTATAAGCTGATAAAAAAAAAAAAAAAAAAATATGAAGTGAAATATGAGTTTTGCAAGGTACTGTAGTTTATCTGACAACTTGACAATCTTCCTGTTGCCCCTAACTCTCCACAGAAATAAAAACAAAGAAAAATCACACACAAAATAAAAAAATCAAGTTGCTCCCTCTGGCATATAGACACCTTCCTGATGTCCGTCCTCTTCTTTCCTCTCTTTTTATTTAATCTAAACCTCTGAACTTCCCTGTCTGTTATTTAAAAGCCACATATTCAATAGCCCTTGCATTTCAACCCAACTCAACAGAGACTGTCAATCAGAAAATATACAGTGCAGCTAAAACACTAGCATGAAAGTGCTGTGGTGATATGAAATCTATCTATTTATAACAGTTATTCTTATAATCCAGTGATACAAATGAAGCAGAAAAGCTTCTGATAGACTGAGGATGATTAAAATCTCTCTATGTCTCTGATGTTTTAGTACCAACAAGAGATTGCGGTGCTGCAGGAGAAACTGCGTGCGTCTGTACAGAAGCTGGAGGAGTACGAAGCCCGTCTAAAAGGTCAGGACGAGCAGGCTCAGAAGGTCCTGCTGGAGTACCAGGCCAGGCTGGAGGAGTCGGAGGAGCGTCTGCGCAGGCAGCAGGACGACAAGGACCTCCAGATGAAGAGCATCATCAGTCGGTAGGGAAAATAAGCCCAGAGTTATGCTACTGTGTGTTTGTATTTCCTTCTAACAATCCATTGTTGCTACATCCAGGTTAATGTCAGTGGAAGAGGAGCTGAAGAAGGACCACTCTGACATGCAAGCAGTTGTGGACTCGAAACAGAAGATAATTGATGCTCAGGTCAGTCTGGCCTGTAGAAATACACTAATAGGAAGCATTACCTGCTCAGGCGGGTTTAGAACTGTTCAATTTGGATGTGTTGCCTTTCATGCCGTCTTTGCTCACTGAATACAGGGAGATGTTTACCTCATAACGTTCTGATCACGCAGACAATCCTTCAGTTGCCGAACTAAATGTCCCAGAAGTCAGAAGGGACAATTTTTAAGAAGCAAAATGGATTCTTCTGACCTCAGTCGAAAAAAATAGATTTCAGATATTTGTCTTTTTTAAAATCAGAATCCGGCTTTTTTTGGCCGCGATTTTTAGTCAAAGTCAAACCAGAAATCATCCGCCTTTCAGCTTGGCGATAAATGCAAATTGGCTCACAGAGAAACAAAGGTCATAAATCTATTTCATGCCCACACTAATGAGAGTGTGTGTCTGCAAACAACCACAGCTTAGAAAGACAATCAGCGCTCTTAGTAAACAGGAAGAAAAAAATAAAGAGCATTACTCAGGCAGGACAGGATGTTAGCGAGACAGTTTGAGTAAAATGCTTTAGTTTTAGGATAGAATTCCTCAAGGACACATATAGTATCATCATCCCAGCAGTGATGAGTGTCCAGCTGTAATTAGACTCTCGTTTTGGTTATAATCATCTGAATATCAGAAATTGCAAACATGTATGAAAACACAAAACAATTGTTAATTATTTCAGATTAAAGTGTTCAGAGGAATGTAAGAGAGAGTAGTTATATCTGTTCTGACAGAAGAAAAAAAAGGAAAATAAAGGATTTCCTCATCTGATAAATTTTATGCTCACAAACAACTCCCGTGGTTGCTTCCATGGTCTGCCTGTTGACCCACTGGAATAAACCGTGGAGATTTCTCATTCTGCAGTCATTGGTTGTTTTTTCCCCTTGAAGGAAATATTCCAGAGATTTTAGAACTTTAGTGTTAATTGAATTTAAAAAGACAGTTTTAGTTGGTAAGGAAAATGTTCCGTTTTTAATTTTGTGTATCTTCCTAAGTATAAATAATTGTCCTTATGAAAGCTTTAACTGCCTGATCCAAACTTTTATGCACTGCAAAAATAAGGCTGGACAACCATTTGACATACCCTCATCAGTAAGGGTTATATTTCAGAGAAAACTGTATGTTTTCTCACTCTAAATTAAAAGAGAAGAATGTACAGTAGTATTCTGCATGTTTTATTTTCCTTGAGTTTTTTTCACTGAGTAATCATCTCAAACTGATAAAAAAAAAAAAAAACACTTTTAGGAGTCTCATAGGGATTCTATAATACATTTTAGTGAAGCAATAAAATAAACTCCAATCTTACAAGATTAGATTACCATGGCCTGTAAACTCTTTTTTTTCCTAATATTCATTTTTCCGATTGTGTTTTTTTGCAGGAGAAGCGCATCGCGTCGCTGGATGCTGCCAATGCTCGTCTCATGAGCGCGCTCAGCCAACTGAAGGAGCGTTACAGCATGCAGACCCGTAACGGCATCTCCCCCACCAATCCAACCAAGCTGCAGATCACTGAGAATGGAGAGTTTCGGAACAGCAGCAACTGCTAAGGCTGCTCTGAGTGTGTTTGAGGCTCCTGAGAGTGTACAGTATATTCCTCCTTTTGGGCGTGTGCGTGGCTGTTAGATGGACGGTGAGAACGTGTGGGTGTGTTTTTTGGAAAGCACTCAGTTTACTTCCGGAAGACATTTCTATTTTTCCTCTGTTTGGGCAATGCTGGCCCTAAAGACATTTCTACAAGGGGGCCACCCAGAAGGATTGGAGCTTGAAGCAGATCACCAGATGGCCTTCTTTGGGAGGCTGATGGAAAAAGGAGGCGGAGCCGAGCTTGTATATAAAAACTCCAAGCTGTGGATGAATTAAGATGCTGGGATGACTCAAACGCCCGGTCCACGCCTGGGACGAACCACTATAAAAACCATAAAGATCGACAATTCAGCTCCTCCCTTCCCTCCTGACAGCGAAGTGGGCCCATTAAAAAACACATGTTGAGGATTTTCACTTAAGCTTGTCTCCAGAGGTTTACTTTCCAATGCTTTATCTCAAAGTATATGTTTTTAAAGAACCAAATATGAGCTATAAATAGATATTTTTTAAATCCAAAACAATCTTCTTTACTTCCCTTTGAATTTAGAGGTGTGTTGCTGAGCGTCCCGTTTACCCCCACAACCCCAACCCCCCTCCACCCTCCCCCATACCCTAAGCAGTGCACTTTGTGAAAGCTATTGGTACACGAAACGCCTTAACTAGGGAACACACCTCAACTTTATCCCCCCACCCGCCCATCCCTTTCTGCAAAACAAACATAAAGGCACAACTTATACTGTGGATTTGTAAAGATAACAACGTAAATATTGATTAAATGTATTATTAACACTAAAGTAAATGAATTCTATGTGATACTATATTAATGAAATTTAATATAGATGTATGCATTTTTTTTCATCTAGGGTATACACACATATACCTATATTTGATAAAAGTCAAATATAAAAGCAGCCCTTTATTTAAGAGATCAAGTGTTATTTTTTTTCTCTAATGCTGAGGGACTATAGTGTGTAGCTTGTTCTGGAGCTCTGGAGAGGAGACCCACCCTGAGCAGTGATCAGCACCTAACAGCCATTATTGAACTTAATGTACGTTTGGCACAAAACTCCTGCATCATTTTGTTTTTTTGAAGATGCTAGCCATAGACCAGAATGAATCAAAATAGAATATAATGCTTTGAACACAAGGTATCTACAAAAAATGTATATAATCGGATCTGATTCTGTTTAAAACTACATGAAACTTGTGATTTTGTCAGTAGAATAGCAGAGTGCTAACTGATAATGATAAAATATAGATGGAGATATATGAGTTGAATGTCTTATCTGTCCATGTTTTAGCAAAGAAAAATATCTCTAAACATTCATATTAGTCTCTCCATTTAAGGGAAAGGAAAATGCAGTAGCCTCCTTTCAGCCTGCTGACCCGCAGTGCACATCAGCAAGCTAAAGAATGGGCAGCAATGTAACGCTATTACCTCCATGCATCTGCACCAAACTCCATGCTGGCACCTCATTAAAAGAACCCTTGGAATAGGATTTAGGAATGTTTTTGCTGTTTTTAAATCAAATATAAAGCTCTGTCTGGAAAGACCTTAAGAAAAATGAAAGAAAAAAATATGAAACAGAGTATCTTAATTGCCCAAACTGCCTCATGGCCTGAAAGTGCACGATCATGTGCTTAGTTTTTCTGGTGCTCATCACTGCTCTGTAAATAATAGATCATTAGCCGTTGCAGGATGTCGGTTGATTCTCTCTAGTTGCACTGGAGCTATTGAGCGATGCGCCTACATGCATTCACTCATTCTATACACTGGACTGGTGAGATTTTTTTATTTACGTCCTTTTATTCAGTTGTTCTCTCTAACAGCTTCATCTTTCAGTCAAAAGTGAAGACGTTTGCTTCTAAACTGTGACTCCACTGATCTTCATTTGCATCACCTTTCTTTACTTGTCTGTTTTTCATACTCTACCAGACCTCATGCTTTCTGCTTCTGAATGTACAGACACTATCTAAGGTCTCCTTTCCTTACGTTACCATCTCAGCGTCTGATTTTTGGATATTTTTGTAACATTTTTAATTCCTGTTAAAATCTAAATACATGAGGTGTGAGGCTCTGCATGCCTAATCCAGCTGGAACATCATCCCCCATCTGTGTCCTTTAGTTGCTCGTTGCTTGACATTGAGGATGGCTGCTTAGAGTGCATCGTGAGATGATGAGACCACATGGGAATTTGTAAATAAAATACCCACACTATTTTTACCTGATGTTAAACAGAGCTTTTTGTAAATGTTTTTCGTGCTCAAACTCTGCTGTAATTATTGATATTGTAAATAGAAAATAGCCCAGTCAGTCATCTGTCCTCATTGGGTAGAACTATACAAATCAATTAACCTGTAAGTGTTCTCTCTGTTGAAAAGCTTTTGTGTTTGTATCTACAGTGTGTTATCTCTGGCCAAAAACAACAACAAGAAGAAAAAAAAGAACTGATTATGTAGGAGTTTGACTCTTGAGATGAATGCCTTGCTGGTTTCAAGCCAATTTGAGTCCGATGAGCTGCGCAAGCACAATCCAGTTAATCTCATCAGTCTCACTCAAAGCACTTTTACATTAAGTGGTTGTTTTTTTTTATTTCACTTTTTAAACCACAGATCTGTTGCATTTAAAGATTGATAACTAAGGGAAATTGCCCTATAACTCACATAGCAGATGAACAGACTTTTATTTTATGTAAACAATGAAGTGGCTTATAAATACAGGACATTTCACATATATCTGCATACTTTGCAGCTCTTAAGCTGGTCTGCACAGAATAAAGCAAGACTATGATTCCTTTGGCAAATGAAATTTGGAAAATTCTTTTATTGCGCTTTTAAATTATTGATTAGCAAAAGTTAGACTAGACTTTTTTATTACAACCAGTCTAAATTTACTGCTTTAAATTTTTTTATAAAACATTTCAGAATTTCAGAAAATTACCAACATTTTTATCCTTGCATTGCATCATCTAAAGGGCTGAAAAATTGGATCAAACGTGATTAATTGATTATTGGAATAATCGTCAACTAATTTAGAAATTAATTAATCGATAACTGGAGTATAGAGACTCTAAAACATGCCTCTAGCTGACAGAGTGATCCATTGTAGCAGCAATTATACCAAGATTTTAAAAAATATATAAAGATTTTGCATTTAAGATAAAAAATAAAGGTTTTATTTGTCAATATGTTTTATCCAGAACTCCTCAAGAGGAAAAGTTTGAATTTCACCTGATTTAATTTTGTAAAAAGTCTTATTTAAGGAATCTTTGGCTATTCAACTATTAACTGAAAAAATAATTAACAGATTAATCAATTTGCAAAATAATCTTTAGTTGAAGCCCTAGTTATCTAAATTACAGGGCAGCTAATGGTTGAACTTCATTTTAAATTCATAAAAATAAAAGGCTACATGCGGGTCATATTATGCTTTACCAAAACAAAGTTTCTTAACTCATTTTAGCATAAAAACATTTAATACAGCGATAATAGGATTTGATACACTGGTTGACCAACTTCTAAACCTCTATGTTTTGAAGGTTAAGAAAGTAGGGAAATTCACAGATTGGTTTGACTCTTAATATTAGCATTTTATTGCAAAAACATTTTACTTTTTGAATAAATGTTCAGCTGGTTGACAGGCTTTAGTTTGTAAAAGTTGGCAAATTTGCTAAATATTTTTCAAAATCAGAATTTGACCTAGCATTCGCATCTTACCACATGCCAAATCCCTGTTTGACTAGATGTCAAAGTTCATATTTGGTATTTGTAAAAGTCAGCAAATTTGCTTGAAAAAATTCCAAAAAAGATGTGAAATGCATTAATTTTAGCTTAATGCCAACTAGCTGTAAATACTAGTATTATTGATTTGCTATTCAAATAAATTTGCCTTTCTAATGTTTTATTTGGAAAGAGTCATAGTCTTGCCTTATACTTTAAAGAACTAAATATATCCTTTTAGAGTTATATTTTTAAACAATAAAACTGCACCAATAATCAGCTTTTGGTTTTCATTTCATAAATCAGAAAAACAAAAGCTCATTTCTGACATAGTTCAACCAATCAAACAAAAGGATTAAATAAACTATAAAGCTATAAGTAAAAGATGTATGTTTTCTATTATATTGTAGAAAATACTTTTGTAAGTATGTTGAAAGTATAAAGTATTTGCTGGATTCTGCTTCCTTTGATGACAGTGACAAAACAATAATGTACAGAAGAATTTGTGTTGACAAAATGTGGCTGTGCAATTTATGTACATTTGCAACTAGACCTATTAAAGTTTTATTTAGCTATTTTAAACTCTTCCCTGCGTCCATCTCTGCTTTAAAGTGCTTAGCAGTTCTCTGGGATGTTTTTAAGATGTGGAAGCTAAATGAAGCCGGATTTGACAGCATGCATGATGAATCACAGGTTCATTAAATACTCAAGGAGACCTAGATTGATAATAGGCATCTAGAGAGAACATATGCTCCGAATGGTGATCCAAAGGCACAGCGAAGGAAGGGTATGATGGAGACATGAATGAATGGTTTAAACACTGCCTTCTTCTCACAGCAAGTATGACCTACATACTGCCTGATTGTTATTCCCCACAGTCAGTAGGGTATGATCATGTGTTGCAGTGTTTAGAAGGCAGCAAAAAAAGCTGTTTATTGCTTTATTACTATAACTGATGCATATCTCTAACAGAATGCATTAAAATTTAGGAACCAATGTTGGTAATTACTCCCTGTGAGGGGAGCTTATTTCTTTAGCCAAATGGAAACGGCTTCCTGCAGCATATTTAGGGTGTCAGACATATTAACATAATCATCTAATAAGTCCTTTAATGATTAAAAAGTATAAAAACTACAGTTTTATATCTTATTAAGATGCTTCTGCTTATTTTTCCTTCCCCTTCACATAATATGGTTGCAAATATGGTCTAAGTGCACACATGTTGGAGTGATAAAAGGTAAAACATAACTCTGAGCGCTGACTGTTACACATTTGTTGGGACCACCAAGCGACACCAACAAACGTGCTGTGATGAATACAGACATTGGAGCTACCCTGTCAGCAGGGACTGCCTGCCTCCACAACAGAAGGACGAGGAAACATGGGCAGATGGTTGTGCTGTGAAACATATCGAAGGTCTTAAAACACATAAAAAATGAGCCGTTTCCAATTCATCCATCAGCCTGGTTGAAGGAGGAGAAATAAAAAGCAGCACAAGGCCAACAGGTGTGCCGGTAAAAGAAGCAGTGAAATTTATAGAGTGAACTGCTACTGATATCCCCTAACATTTTTTTTTCATTTTGTCTTGATACTACTACAGAATAAAATCTCTTAAGATGTTAATATGTAATAGATAAATATGAATCTTTGAAGAAATTAAACAGGTGAGGTCATTTGGCCTTAACCAGCTTTTAACCATTGGAGGAGGAAACAAAAAACGTCTCTAAATCAATCTAGAGGATTGCTGGTGTTATGCTCAGGGTTATTTATCATAAAAAACTAAAAACTTCCATCCTATTCTACAGAAATGTGTGGTCCCTAAAAAGTTTTCTAGCTGCGTTTAGCCTCATTTACCTTCTCTGCCATCATGAAGTTTGCAGCAGAACGCTGGCCCCATCGGGCCAAAGGTCCTGAGGCTGCTGGTGTCTCCTGACAGGAGTTTCTGCGACATGTTTGTGGTGTTCCCTACATTGCCTGAGGCTAAATGCAAACAGAACTGTCAATAATGACAATACCACAACACTGATTAGCTCTAGGATCAACACATTCTTGGATCTTAGCTGAGGATCTCAGCAGCTCCTCCAGAGTAAACAGTGGGCCTCCTAATTGCTTTTTTTATGACCCATTTAAAAAGTGTTCTTGCTTCTTTTGACCTTCATGTTTATGTTTGGATGTTTGCATACTTCTTGGCAGCTTTCTTTGATGAATTCTTTCCTTTTCTGGGTGTCAAATTGTGCCGAACCATCCTTAAAAAACATTAAGAAATGGGACAATAATGAGTTCTCCACAAATGTATCCTTGTTTGTCGTGTTCCTTGATCTTCACCGTGTTTGTTCACCCGTGTTGTCTAACAAACCTCTAAGGCCTTCACAGAACAGCTGTGTTTATACTGAGATTAAATTACACTCAGGCAGACTCTGTTTACTTCCTGGGAGATTGTCGTAGGAAATTGTTTGCGGCAGATTTTATTTAGGGGAATCAGCGTAAATGGATGTCGAACACAAACAGGGTCGAGACACTTTTCCAGCCAAACTTCAGTCGCTTGGAAATATCTGACACCAAACAGCACAGGCCACATCTTGAGCTTAAACAGCATGTTTTATTTGTCTGCTAGTGTTATGAGCACATCTCGTTCACATCCGACATGGTAGACGACCTCGTTCCTCTGCTTTAGATTATCATAACCACACTGCAATAAATATGCAAGCTGGAGATTATTATTTATCGCGAAAAGAAACAAAAAACCTTTTTAGGTTAATCCACTTTGTGTTTTTACAGCTGCCTACACTGCAGACAGTTCATTCTTCGTTTGTGACATATCCATTTTTATCACTAGTGCAAAAAGAAAAACATTTTATTTTAGTGGGACTGTCAAACTTGGCATCCATCATGCTTTTCTGCATAGCGACACATGGAATATTATTATACAAAAGCTCCTTTTAAGAAACAATACATGGTGATTGTATTTAAGCCATGCAGTCATTGTTTATTCTAAAATAATCAAATTTTTTTCAGTTATGTCACGAAGGTAATGAACCTAAAAAACTAAAAGTGACTGACAGGGAAGCTGTCGACAGGAATAGCTGCAGAACTGAAAGAGGATGAGTGAATGCTTATTCACTTAACTCGTCACTAATGGGCTCATGGAGGACTAACAGCTGAGCCACTTGCTGTCAGTTGGGTTTTTTTTCCCCCACCACTGAGCCGAACGCAAATAAATACAGTACTGAACATAAACACCCAGGGTCACACACATGTGCACGCAAACACACAGATGACGTTTCATCTGCTTCTGTGCAAATATATTAGTTTAAATAGCTGCTGTGCAAATTTATTTCTTACAGATGCATCTCAAGAAATCAGAATATCAAAGTTACTTTTTGTAATTTAATTCAAACTTTTAAAACTACATAAAGATCCATTGCACATAAAGTGAATTCATTCACCTGTTTGTTTCTAATCATTTTGAATATTATTCCTTACAGATAATGAAAACACAAAATCGAACTTTTCATAAAAAACTTCCAATATTACATAGTAACTATTTAAAAACATAGAAAATGTGTCAAAACTACACCAAAGAGCTGTTTGCAGTTTGTCTTATCCAGGAATGGTTAGGAGTGAATGGATTTTACCTTCTCAGATATTGAAGTTAAAACAATTTAGTGTAAAAGTTGTATTTATCTTTAATTATTCACATATTTTGTCTTTTTCTATAATCCCATAGTAACTATGGCCAAACACATCAACAGGTGTTTTGTGTTTTTTTTTTTCATTTTTTAAGAAAGTGACATATAATCACAGTCTTGTTGCTGAAAATATTAATGATGTATTAATCCTTTCTCTCCAAACAATAAAAAAATCTGTATACGTAACAGTTTTCGTCAAATAGTGTATGTTTAGTTTTTCTGCACAATTCAAAAGACCTACAAGCACAATCAACTTAGAGATTTTGGTTTGTATGGCAAAAGGTTTGATGTATAAATGAGTGGAGAAGACTTTCGGCTGTATTCCTGCAGGTTTTGGAAAGTTCCATTTCCTCTTGTCATTTTGTACTTTTTTGCTCCATTTTCCCACAAAGGAACAATAAAGGCTGTTGAAATATCAACATTTAGCAAGAGGAAAATAGTAAAACAGATGCAAACAACATTATTAGCTGGATGAAGTAAGTGAAGTAAGGCTGTTTTAGAATAAAAATTTGTGGATTGCAGCACTGATTAATTTATGCAACAGGAAAAAGACATTTTCCGATAATCTTAGGTTTGGGATTTTATTAACTACAATCTATTAGCGTCATAGTTAGCAGACATCCTGGAAGTTATGTGCAATAGATCTAAATATACAAATAAATGTCCTGTTTGAAGATATTGTGAATAGTTGAGATGCAGGTGTATAATACACTTAGGATGCTCCCTTACACCGACTTGTTTATTTGTGATTAGTGTGAATTAACTGACAAAGATAATCCCTGAATAAAAGGTTTCAGAGATTTAGCCAGATAAAAGAAGGGAAGCAAGTAGCTGCCCTCTAGAATCAATCAGTGCATAAAAAGCAGCCATATCCTCCTCCCGACAGGACCACTGTTAACGAATGATCCCACCAGGAGGAGAGGAAGGAATCCACCAGCCTCCATTACCATTTCAGTCCCCCCTGAGGCCATCTTCCTCCTTAGAGGGGAAAAAAAGAAAAAAAGCAATCGGGTAGAGAGCAGTTCTACGACAAGTCAGCCAGCAGGGGTCAAGCTAGCCCTTCTCAGGAGCTGCAGAGGAGAAATGGACCCTTAATCTCCCCTGCTTCCTGTGGAGAGAGTTCAAGGCAATGCAGCAGGGTTTGGACAGCTAGTTCCCCGCTCATCAGTTCTCCACGTTCGCCCTGAGCGTGCGAGGCTTCAGTCTTTGATGCGGTCGGCAGTCCTGGCTCATGGCTCTTCGCTGAGCGGCTGGAGAGTTGAGCTGGGGGTTGGAGAGACACAGCGTCTGAGTTTTGATGACTCGCGGCATCACCCTGCTGCAGCTCAACGAGCGCCTGTCTTCTGAGCCAGACTGGGGCCCGAGGTGAGCCTCGCACAGCTCCAGCAGGGACACTACCTGCTCCCTCAGCATTAGGGATTTGAATCTTCGGGCTGCCAGGTAGAAAAAGGCTTCCAGGAATGCTTGCAGTCCCATCCCTGTAGGTCAGAAGGTAACGCTGATGTAAAAATGCAACAGCTTTACTAAGCAGACAAAGAAACCTTCAACAGTAACTCACAGTACTCAGTAACTTTATTAAAAAGAAAAATCTAATTTAAATGTGATTTCAATTATTCAAAGGGGAAAGCATGCATATATATATATTTATATATTAGCTCGCATCTCTGCTGTTCAATATTATGTCAAACCCTTTGCAACCAATCAGGTAGCACTTGGGGCTCTCCTATGATGTTTCGTAACATGGCAACATACAGAGAGAGCTTTCTTTTTCATAGTCCAAGGTCACGCCTCATAAGTCTAAAGACTGAGATGGGCATTAAAGAGGCTAATATTATCTGTTGTGAATTATTTGTGCTACTTTTTCCATACGCTATAGCTCATTAGCCCGTTAAAAGACCCCACGAAGACATCTTGGCCTCATCTGAGGGCAGCTGCAATGGAATGACTCCTAAACAACAGATTAGCAGCAGTGTTTAAGAGTTGCTACAGACACACAAAGAGGTTGCTCTTTCCTGTTTTCTGCAGCATTGAGATGCTTTATTTTTAATTCTAGTCTGTTTTACTCCGGTTTGGGCTAATTAAGTTGTTTAGACATTTTTTTTTTTTTCTGACTTAAAATCACCATAAGACATCTGGTTAACCTTACTAGGAAGTTTTTTTTTTTTTATCTTTAGTGTAAAAAGTTCAGAGAAATGACCCCTGTTTTCTGATATGAGAAGTCATTGAAGAAAATTTCCAAGACACTAATAATCTAAAAAAAATGTCCAATTCCAAACATATTCTATTGGAGTTGATAGAGGCCTTACTAGATGTAGAAATTATTCATTTGTAATCAAGGAAAATTCTTCTTCTCAAATACATTGCCTCCATTGTTATAAAGTTTCTTAAAGGGGAACGCTGTTTTTTGGACATTGGCCCCTTGATCTTATGTTATAACATCATGTTCTACTCACCCATATGAGTTTTATGTCATTTGAAGCCGTTCTGAAGATATTCCGTTAGGTTATATCCAAGTATCGTCTTTCTATGGGCAACGACTTGAAGGCACAAAATAAACTGCTCATAATGCTCATAATTTATGCTACGCCAGCATTCATAACATGTAGGCGAGTCACTGTCCCCCAGACATCCGCGGTTATATTTTTAATATTTATATCTTTTAAAAACAAAGCGGCACGTGTATGACGTCATCCACGTGCGCCGGCTTCTGTTCATTCATCCTGTCCGCTGAACTGCTGCTAGTTTTACTCACATGCCTGGAAGATGTCTAGTGCTACTACAACAGATGATCTCGCTCTCGAAATGGAATTGAACGATTCAGATTAGCTAGCTGAATGAATAGAAGGGGTAGAGCGTAGCCGCCTGTGGCCGGGCTGCCTGTCACGACTCCAGTCCGGCACGCGGATGACGTCATACACACGTAAAATCAAGGGCTCAATGTAAAAAAATAAAAATAAAAATGGCATTGCCCTTTAAGGCCGTTTTTTTTTTCATGTTTTTGTGTGCCAAAAGGCTACAAAAATGTAATCATTTAATTTGAAGGGTTTTTTACACAGAGTTACCTATGGTGACACTAAAGGGTTGATAATTGTGCAATCTATATCATCTGCATATTTTTTTTCAACAGAAAAAAAGGAGCACCTTTTTCATCAACACTCATTCTCTAATGCTGAGCTGCTTGCTTTAGTCCAGACTGTTTATTTCAGGTCAATATGCTGGTTTAACCTAAGTCTTTATTTGTAACAAATATGTTAAAAAGGTCAAATAACATGAAACTAAGTTTAGACCATTCAAAGCAGAATAGTTCATCCATTTCTCCGTCATGAGACATTTTCTTTTTAAGTGAAAATCAGCTTTTTGATGTTCCTAACTCAGTGGCATTTCAATGTGATAACTGTAATTCCTAAAAAGAGCCCATGCAATGTCCACTGCTCAAAATAGAAAAGCTGAATGTAATAACCTTTAAGCTGACAGCTTAATTATTAACGTGGGTTGAAAGAATAGGAAAGTTTGATTCACACTTACAGGTACAGAGCATATTTAGGCTAAAAGTGAGTTTTCCTCCTGAAGCAAAGGGTAGCCTCTTTGCATGACTAACTGAAATACTTTTTTATTTAGCTTTTTGCACCATAAATACCTAAAAAAATGCACCAATCAGAGTGTTACTTACATGAAATAAACCAAGTTGTCCTTTTGCAATTAAAAAGCTTCCTGGATGGGAAGTGAAACGTCTTAAAACTTGGAAACAAAGTCCAGTGGATTTGTTTTGTTTTTTACTTTTTTTGGAAAACCAAGTTGTCTGATTTCACCTTTTGGGGATAGAATTAGTTTTTAATTTAAACTGAAATAATGATTACTGATTTAATTAATCAACTCTTGCCTTAGCAATTAGCAACTAGAGCTATCCCTGCATGTTTTTCCTGAAATTATTGACTTTTGCTTGAAAAGGAATTTCCAACAACCTGCTAGGTTTCCATAAATGAAAATGTTTGAGGCTCAATAGGATGAGCCTGAGCTGCTTTGGTGTGATTTAACGCTTACCCTTTTTGTTTTGGTCACTTAGGATACAGATGACAGCTCTGAGTTAAATCCCATTTCAAGTAAAGTCACCTCCTGGCAGATTGGTCCTTTTCAAACCCAAATTCTACTCATAACGACCAAAACTGCAAAAGCAATTGTAAAAACCAATGACAGAAAAACAGTTTCCTTCTAAATACTTTATATTCTTTTTCTAATCCTAATTTCTAAACACCTCAATGACACTGAAAATAGCCAAAAGACATCTCTTCACAGTAATCATTTCTTTATCCAAGAACCCTGTTGCTGGCTTGACCCTGCAGAAACATGATCTGTCCTCATACCTCTTCAAATTCTCTATAAGGGCTCCTCACACTTTACCAAACACACACAGCAACAATAACCTAAAATACACCCAGCTCAGTCTGATTGAATATATATAAACTAATGTGAAATTCAGCACACGCTCCCCTGCACGGACCCCTCCATCCCGGTTCATGTCGTATCCAACAATCTACTCTGTGTCGCCAACATTTCTAGGTGCAGCGCCTGAATAATTCATGTTGGGCCGGTCTCTGTGCTGTCATGCTGTGATCTCGCCTCATTTCAATTATGGGACAAGGGAGTCTGGCAGGGAATGACAAGTAATAATGGGAGAGCACATTATTTGCTCAGAGTCTCAAGCATGCCAGGGTCTCTGTTCTCCAAGCATGACAGGAGAAGACTTCTAGGCCTCGAGGTGCAAATGTGTGAGTATTAGTTACCTGCTTCTCGGGAATCAGGCAGGGCACATGACCATCGACGGGTTATATCTATATACAGGATGTCCACTGAGGCCATGGTAAAGTTGCTGTTGCTTAGTTTACAAGTCCTGAAAACATAAAAAAAGAATAACAACGAAAATGATTTTATTCCACTACGGTCTAACTTATACATCCTCATTAAAGAATTGAAACATATCATTTTAGGATGCAACTAATAGTTTTACTAAGCAAATCTGTTCAAGAATTTAGTGAATGATTTATGGCCAAAGCTTTTTTTGTAAAGGTTTGGAAATCTTTATATAATAGAGGTGATACATGTGTTAAGAGTAGGGCTGCAACTCATTTTTTTCTGCTAATCGA